ATTATCTGACAGAACTTTATCCAAATCCGCCTACGAAAGAGAGATGATGGGATTAGCTCTGGCCGTGCAACATTGGCGGCCATATTTAATTGGTCGGAAATTCATCGTGCGCACCGACCATAGGAGTCTCAAACACCTGCTCACTCAACGCATAGCAACTCCTTCCCAGCAAGTGTGGGTAGCAAAATTATTGGGTTATGACTTTGAGATTGAATACAAGACTGGCATCTCCAACGCAGCTGCCGATGCTCTGTCTAGAAGAGGAAAGGAAGTAGAATTGGCGGCAGTAAGCATTCCAGAATGGATGGGTCTGGCCGATGTAGATGAAGAGCAGCGGAGGGATAAGGTCTTGCAAGAAATTGTGGAGGCACTGGCTGTTGACCCGGCAAAAGCGCCAGGATATGAAGTAACAGGACGGCGGCTATTTTTCAAGGGCCGACTGGTCCTGCCAACTAATTCAAGTTGGATACCACGATTACTGGAAGAATTTCATGCCACGCCAACCGGAGGACATGCAGGGGCCTATCGTACGTACAGAAGACTCGCCATGAATGTATATTGGAAGGGAATGTTTCGACGAGTACGAGATTACGTGGCACAATGTTTGGTTTGTCAAAAAGCCAAATACGAGACTTTATCACCCGCGGGATTATTGCAGCCTTTACCAATTCCCAACTTAATTTGGGAAGATATTTCCATGGATTTTATCACTTGTCTGCCTAAATCAAAGGGGTATACGTCTATTTTAGTGGTGGTAGATCGACTGTCAAAATACGGACATTTTATTCCCTTAAAAGGTCCCGTCACAGCCTGTTCGGTTGCGGAAGTTTTTTCTAAAGAGGTGGTTAGGTTGCACGGCATCCCACGCTCAATTGTTAGCGACCGGGACTCACTATTTATTAGCACATTTTGGAAGGAATTGTTTGAGTTGTCCGGCACTCAACTGAAATTTAGCTCGGCTTATCACCCAGAAACGGATGGACAAACGGAGGTGTTGAATCGCGTATTAGAGACTTACCTTCGTTGTTTCACAAGTGAGCAGCCGAGGCAATGGATACGCTGGATTAGTTGGGCAGAGTATTGGTATAATACCGCTTTTCAGACTGCAGCCAGAGTTACCCCATTCGAGGTAGTGTACGGACGGCCACCCCTATCTATTCGAAGATTTTTGCCGGGAGAAAGCAGTGTGGCAGCCGTGGCAGAGGTTCTCGGCAGCAGAGATGTTATGCTAAGGCGGCTAAAGGAGAACCTGCAAAAGGCTCAACAAAGCATGGCGACACAGGCAAACAAACACCGTCGCAATGTGGTTTTTCAGGTTGGAGAAAAGGTGTTTTTAAAGGTAAGGCCTCATCGACAAACAACTCTATTTCGCCAACCATATAACAAACTGTCAGCAAAATTCTATGGGCCATTTAAGGTTGAAAAGCGAATTGGGGAGGCAGCCTATCGCCTGGCACTACCTGCCACTAGCCGTATTCACCCGGTTTTCCATACATCTCAGCTGAGAAAGGTAATTGGCGATCACCCGGTGGAGAGTGAGCTACCGGAAAGCTTGGAATTACCTGTGAGTCCAGTGTTCGAGCCTGAGGAAATATTAGCTACAAGGAAGAAGAATGACAAAAAAGAGGAATTGTTGGTTAAATGGGCTGGACAATCTACGGACGAGGCAACTTGGATGAATAAAACAAGCTTCTTGAGTCAATTTCCTGATTTCAACCTTGAGGACAAGGTTCTTCCAAAGGAGGATGCATTTGATACGGAGCAGACGCGTGCGACCGAAGACGAAGAAGCAGAGGGCCGCAGGCCCTTGATTGTTTATCGCAGGCGGGGTCGGGAGAAGCCCACATCCATGGGCCAGGCTGGATGAAGAGTTTTAGCTTAATTCTTATTTAATTAGTATTGGCTTTTAATTAGTTTCCTAGTTTCAGTTTATTTCCTAATATCAATAATTTAGGAGTTTCCTAAATTATTTTCAGTTTATTTCCTAATATCAATAATTTAGGAGTTTCCTTTATCCAAGGATAAGTTGTCTATTTATACCCCCTAAAGGGGCTTTCAAACTATGTTTTATGAATAAGAATTTGTGTGTGTTAAGCTCTTGAGATTTGTCAACGGTGGTTACCGTTAATTGTTATTTTCCGTTCATATTAACATGTCTCAGCCCCCTGGTTTTCAAGTTAAGGACACTTCTCTTGTTTGCAGACTACATAAATCCTTGTATGGTCTCAAACAAGCTCCTAGAGCTTAGTTTCAAAAGCTTACTTCAGTACTGTACAATGATGGGTTCAAGCAAAGCAAGTGTAATCCTTCCCTTCTCATGTAACTGCATTCTGGAATTCAGATCTATCTCCTCATCTATGTTGATGACATACTAGTCATTGGCAATAATCCCCTTACATTCTTCTTTCTCCCTTAAACACCTTGGAGACATTGATTTCTTTTTGGGCATAGAAGTCAGAAAGCTTCCTAATGGTTGTTTACATCTTTCCCAAGCTAAATATGTTAGAGATCTCCTACATAAGGTTGGAATGTCAGATTCCAAGGGTGTGAAAACACCTATGGTGAGTAGCTGTAAACTCACTAATGAAGGGAATGACTACCTTCCTGATCCCTCTCACTCCAGATCTGTGGTTGGAACTCTGCAGTATGCCACATTAACTAGACCTGAACTCAGTTATTTTGTAAATAAGGTATGTCAGTTCATGGCTAATCCTTTACAAGAACATTGGAAAGCTGTAAAGCACATCCTAAGATATCTGTCTGGTACTATAAATCATGGGTTGATCATCAAACCTCTTCCTCTGACAAAAATACCTCTACCTATTTCTGCCTACTGTGATGCTGACTGGGCATCAGATCCTTCAGATATGAAATCTACATCAGGGTCCTGCATTTTCTTAGGTCCCAATATAATTTCCTGGTGGTCTAGGAAACAATTGAGGGTTGCCAGATCCTCAGCAGAGGCTGAATACAGAAGCCTAGCAGATAGTACATCAGAAATATTTTGGGTTCAGTTCCTACTCAAAGAACTTCAAGTTCCTTTTGTTACTCCAAGAATCTACTGTGACAACCTCAGTACAGTACAGCTTAGCTCACAACCGTGTCTTGCACTCTCGCATAAAACACATGGAAATTGATTTATTCTTTGTAAGAGAGAAAGTCAAGCTCAAACAACTTGAAGTTCTTCACATTCCTGCCTCTCAGCAAGTTGCAGATGTGTTGATAAAGCCTCTATCAGCCTCCACTTTTCTTGAGTTCAGAAACAAACTCAGTGTGATTGATTTTCCAACTCAATCACCCTAAGTTTGAGGGGGGAATGTTAGGAATAGTGTATGAAAACTACACGAGTATTTCTTTGTAATAGTGATTGATTTTCTATGTTAGACTTCCGTTATGTTAGCTAATAGTTAGTTGTAACTACAACCTATAAATACTCTGTAACTGCTCTTCATTCAACAAGATGATTTCATTTCTATCTTCAATTCAGCTCTCTTTCTAATATACTCCGTATTACATATGGTTCAATAGTATAAAGTTTGGACCAAAGCGTCGAGAGTCACATGTTGGGTATGACAAGATGAACTAGTGTACAAATGTTGCTTATATGTTTTGTTCTCAGTATTTAGTACGAATATATTATGATTTTATTATTTTTATTATTATTACTATTAGTGTTATTATTACTACTACTATTATTATTACTATTATTTTTATTATTATAAATATGCTTATATATAGAAATAAATTCCCATATATACAACTGTGTGTGTTAAAACTCCGTTTTAGGTATCAATAAATAATTAAGTATTACTCAAATTGTGTAATATGTTGTATAGTATGTATACATAACTTATTATATACATTATTATAAATATTTAAAATATATACTTGTGTATATAAATTATTATATACATTATTATACGTTATTATACAATATATAACTCCCTTTGTCACATATTTAGCTTTTCATTCCTTTAATTTGGTCAAAATTAGAAACTAATGACCATATTTGTTTATTTTTATATATAAGGAATATATTATCATGTGGGGGTCTTGTTAGATTTGTCTGCAGGTGAATTTTCAAAATCTCAACTTTACATGACTTTCAATAATATATATGTATTTTGATATAATAGTGATTAAATATGTGTGAGGGCTAGAGGGAGTATAATATGTTATTACGTACTATAAATGCTCTATATATAACATGTAATGATTGCATATGCAACAATCATCATAATACGAAACAAATGTGGTCATCTAATAATTCCTCCTTGGTTTAATAATTGCAACACTTTGACTTTTACACTATTCACATACAACTTTGTTTACATTTTATTTATTAATGTATTAAAGATAACAAAATAATAAAAAATACGGAGTTAAAAATTCTCTCGAAGCAAAATTTCAAAATATGATATTTTATGTGATTTTACTAATGGCCAATTAAATATTTCAATCATCAAAGTTGTGCAATCGGCAAATGTGAAATTCAAGTGTTGCAATTAAATAAGAACATAGGTAGTAAAAAATATAGTGACATGTTACGAGTGTAGAATTAATTTTAAACCCAATTAAACCCACCCAAGGCGTTTGGTAAGACGTAAAGTACTTCACGAAAAATGTAGGGAAGCAAATAGTTTACATTGTTTTTTGTTTTATTTTTAAATAAACTGTAGGAGTTGGACACTTCTCTCAATCACTCTGGTGTATCATGTAAAATGTTTTACTGGGCAGGTGGTAAAAATGTAAAATACTTTGCATGATCAATATAAAAAACGTGAACAATTTGCATGTCATTTTAAAACGGGTTACACACCTAACCAAACAATGTTATCATATTTCACGTTGCTTCCCTACACTCCGCATGCAATCATTTTACATGCAAAACATTAATGTGCAAACTACCAAAGACCCTCTTTTGCGCAGTTGCACTGCCATCTATTTAAGTAAAAATCTGTTGAGAAACTTAATTACACTATCAAATCCTACGTTAATACCTTTATTACAGAACCAGCAGCAAGATAAGCTGACTCTGACGACCCTTCATTGAAATATATGGAATTAAATTGAGCAGCAATCGAATCTCTTCTTGAAGCTAACTTTGCAGAGCTTATACTTCTAATGAATTCTGTGTGAAATTTGGAATGAACAAGGGCTATATGTTTATCTTCAGCGTTTTTCCCATCAAGAATTACACATCTAGAATGAAACAAGAAAACATCAAAACAGAAAATAATACTACGTATTCAACAATAATGTGTAAGATCATTCCCGCATGAAATTGATAGCATTAGCATTACCAAAATAATGAATTAAATAGGGAAAATACAAGTAAAGCAACACAAACAAAACAAAAGCAACAAAGTAAATGAATAGCGAGAAACTATTTAACCAAAAAAAAACCTTCTTTGTTTGGAAATTCAAGTTCTGCACTCTGTTCCCTTGGCGGCAGATCTATCTTAGGGATGAGAAGGCTCCAGTCCGGGCTCAAAATTTTAAAGGTCTTGTTTACCATGCAACAATTTTATATATTTATATTAATATGTTGGTGTTGTATACCATTTGTAGTTCATTTTTACCACACGCAAGCTCAGTTAAACAACCATGCATACCAATACATTCAAACTTGCTTTATATGATTCAGTTTAGTTCTAATTTAAAAATTAGTTTTCATTTTCCAGCCTAGGCTGTGGCCAATTTCTGGATAAGCCCGACCTTGATCCTACTAAGCATGCATACTTATAAAAATAAAAGGTTTAAAGAAACAAAGGAAACATTTATATAAGGGAAAATCGCATATATGGTCCTTCAGTTATTCACATAATTAAAATCTCAGACAGGTATTTCTGATATTGTAAATGTCACCCCTCAATTGTCCAAAATGATGTAAATGTGGTCCTTTTGAGGGGTGAAAAATACAATGTGGGCAGAATACATTTAACTACTTAAAGGACCACATTTACAACAATTTGGACAATTGAGGGGTGACATTTCTAATCTCAGAAATACAGGTCTGAGATTTTAATTTCGTGGATAACTGAGGGACCATATATGCGATTTTCCCTTTTTATAAAGAAACAAAGGAAACATTTTTTAAAGAAACAAAGGAAACATTTTTTAAAGAAACAAAGTAAACATTAAAAGAACAAATTCTCAATAATGTCAAGATAAAATGCAAATAAAAGGCTGTTCTTTTCTGAGAGCATGAGCAAAGTGTCTATTTATCTACCAGAAAAAAGCGCAGTTTTCTGAAAGGTATAGACTACGTCAAACAAAGCAGCTTCATAGCATAAATATAAAGCAGCTTTATATTTCTAATAATACACAGTAGAATTCTAAAGATACTGAATTAAAAAAAGGAAACGCCGATTTCTTAACTATAAATTACCTCTTAGCTATGCCGGAAGACTGGAGCCGTTTCCAGATTACCCGAATCCGGTCAGGTTTCTCGGGATGATCCTCGCCGTCAGGAGTTGTGTGCTTGCACATCCGGTCGTCGTAGATGATGCCCACGCGCCGGTCACAGAAATTGGTATTGGAGCCCATGGATTCGTGTCTGTTAAAAGGCTGCAGCGCGCCTCCACTTTCCTTCTTCTGTAGGTGAGACTTTGAACTGCAATTGAATTGAAGACAAATAAAATGCTGAAGGTGGAATGCCGACTGGCACTAAAAATTTGCAGTGGGTGAAATTTTAGCTGCTGGCGGTTGTAGAGTTCGTCCCTTTCGGGTTTTATTGTTGACAGTTGGTTTCAAATTTGAAATTGAAGTCCGGAGATGCGAAATATGCGGTTAGGGTGCCAACGGGGAGATGTGAGGACTGAGGAGTGACGACTCCTTAAAATTTCATTAATCACAACTTTTAATATTAAAATTTCATTTATTACAATCACATTCATAATTACCCCAAATTCAAATAGTGCTTTTTGACAAATAATCATAAATATTTACGAAAATGACAATTTATCCTTATTAGTCATTGATTATAAAAATGAATAATGGATATTACACGTTCTCGAAAAAGCCTCCGGGCATAAGAGATATGAATGTTGCTGCTCTAATGAATTTTATGGGAAAGGAATGGAATAGGGAACGGATTTACAATCTTTTCAATGAGGAAGATAGGAAGCTCATACCGAGCATTCCGATAAGTCTGAAGGACCGAGGGGACTCCTTCTGGTGGAATGGAGAAAAAGACGGCAACTATTCGGTTAAGAACTGTTATAGGAGGCTCATGGGTGATCAATTAGCGGGAGCTTGGGATGGATGGGGTCGGTTATGGGACTTGCAAATTCCTCCGAAGTTTAAATATTTTGCATGGCAAGTTTTAGACGGGACCTTGCCAACGGTGGAGAATTTGAGGAAGAAAGGTATAGCAATTCAGGGCGGCTGTAAAATTTGTGGACTTTCGAATGAATCCCTGGATCATGCAGTTAGGTCCTGTCCAGGGGCGGAGGAGATGTGGCAGCGGGCAGGTTTTCAGACCGAGATGGACCAGAAGCCGATTGGTGATTGGCTAAAGTAGCAGGTCGGGCAAATGTCTTCTTTAAGGAGTGGCAGATTTATAGCCATTCTTTGGTGCATTAGGAAGAGGAGAAATAAAGTTGTTTGGGAGGACAAACAACAAACGGGGGAGGAGGTTTTATGTATGGCAGAAGGCATGCTTCAGCGGTTGAAAGCAGCGCAGGACTCAGGCAGGCAGCCTGCGGCTCTTCTTTTGCAGACTGGGAGCTCCATAGCAGCGCGGGCAGTAGGTCCAGCGGAGGGAAAATGGAGAAAATCGGCGGAAGGTGTGGTCAAAATAAATGTAGATGGAGCGGTAAACATGGGGGGAGGCGTCCGAGCTTGGGGTTGGGTTGCCTAAGATGAAAATGGGGAATTGTTAAGAGCCAAAGGTACATCAAGGAGGACGGATTGGACGGCGGAGGAAACTGAGGCATGGGGCGTTCGTGATGCAATCCAGGAGGCTTTGGTAGCTGGGTGGAACGAAGTGATTGTGGAGACTGATGCCTCGACGGTCGTTCAAGGGCTGAAGAAAGAGAGTGGTTATTCTTATCTTTCTTTGATTCTTGATGATATTAATGTTTTGTTTGCTTCAAAGAGTTAGTTTAGTATCTCTTTTTGTAAAAGGTCTGCGAACCATGTCGTTCATGCCTTAGCAAGAGCGCATGTCCATTCACCAGATCAGCAGATTGTTTACGAGGCTGCACCTGATTGTATTTTTAGCCAGTTGGCTAATGGCCTTTTGATTTAATATAGTTGTGGCTTTTGATGATAAAAAAAAGTTCTCGAAAAATTATGATTTACAAACATATTAGGTAATAAATTAAATCACCTCATTGAAAATTTTGAAATAATAATTGAAATTAGAGTATATCTATTGATGCAAAGCTAACATCATTTATATTCATATGAGTATTGTATTGTATTGTATTGTATTGTATTGTATTGTATTGTATTGTATTGTATTGTATTGTATTGTATTGTATTGTATTGTATTGTATTGTATTGTATTGTATTGTATTGTATTGTATTGTATTGTATTGTATTGTATTGTATTGTATTGTATTGTATTGTATTGTATTGTATTGTATTGTATTGTATTGTATTGTATTGTATTGTATTGTATTGTATTGTATTGTATTGTATTGTATTGTATTGTATTGTATTGTATTGTATTGTATTGTATTGTATTGTATTGTATTGTATTGTATTGTATTGTATTGTATTGTATTGTATTGTATTGTATTGTATTGTATTGTATTGTATTGTATTGTATTGTATTGTATTGTATTGTATTGTATTGTATTGTATTGTATTGTATTGTATTGTATTGTATTGTATTGTATTGTATTGTATTGTATTGTATTGTATTGTATTGTATTGTATTGTATTGTATTGTATTGTATTGTATTGTATTGTATTGTATTGTTGGGCAGATATGAGACCAAAAATAACTGACTTGAGTATATGGAGGAGACTCTGCGGGGTTCATGAAGAAGCTTTTGACCTTTGTTCTTATAGCCCTAAAGGTGTTCTGCAATGGGATCCTGGTATACATGGTGTTTTTTCTCTTGCTTCTGCATATAATGAGATTAGAACAAACATGTCAATTACTTTCTCTAATAAGCACATATGGCATAAAAATCAGATCCTGCAGATTAAAATATTTATTTGGAAATTGATGAATTCATATTTGCCTATTACTGATAATCTTAAGAGGCTCAAAATCACACTCCTGCCATCAAGATGCCTCCTGTGTAGGAAGGAGAGTGATACTACTGGGCATGTTTTCTTTGGTTGCCTGTATTAAAAGAAAATATGGCAACACTTCATGGGTATATTTGGGATTAAAATGCCTGAAGAAGCTCGAATCAGACAAGTTCTGATTTTAAGTTGGATTGAAGCTGGGTCAAAAACTTTGGGTGATACTTTTCTGCACAATATGCCTGGCATTATTGCTTGGTATATCTGGAAGGTTTATTCATCAGCCATTTGGGGTTCGGGCGCTATACCTAGTATTGAACAACTGATATTCCAAATTAAATTATACATTAAACAGTGGGTTCTTTCCTTGGGCAAAATCAAGAGGAGAGTAGTGGAAAAATTTCTTATTCAAGAAAACCTTGTTCCGACCAACTTCAAATTCAAGTGCTCAGGATTTCAAATAGTTGGACGAGCGCAAAGGCTAAATTATGCACCAACCAGCTCAGACTCTTATCGTCTCGTTGACAGAATTCCTCCCTACGACCTATTACCTCGTGTCCTAATCCTTTCGGGAAACTTAAGGGCTCTGATACCAACTTGTAACACCCCCAAATTTCCCTCCCAAAATAATACTTAAAGAAATAATAAAGTTTCATCATTTATTCAAAACTTTGAATTTGTTTGCAGCAGAATTAAACACTAACAAGGAAAAGGGGCGTGTTACCGCCACACCCAGCACTAAACTGACTGGATGCTAAGGCTATCCACCATAAATGTTTCTAAAATAAATATTAAATTTAACATTTGGAATAATGAAGTCTAACAAAGTTTATTCTAAATGAGACTACTCTAAAAGTCTTATAGGAGCGCTCTTAATGCATCAATCTTCATAGACCACATCATCTTTAATATAAGAAAATAAAGGAAACAACTAACACAAAAATTAGCTTTCGCTAAGTAAATCCCACCCAACCTCGTAAAATAATAGTTTTGTTTGAAACTAAGTATTTGTATATAATATATACAAAAATGAGTTTCCAATAAATTTAAATTTCAAAAAAGAGTAATAATATTTCCAAATAATTCTCGTAAGTATTCCAAAGAATAGTTCTCCAAGTACCAAAATATTTGGTTTTCCTCAAAATAGCTTTATAGCTAATTCTCTCAGTCATTTAATTAGAAGGGCGGTGCTCAGCCGTTATCTCGATTCTTGAGCCCAGTGATCCGTTGTTTTGTACGGTCACTCCGATCTGCTATCGGTAATCGGTACCTCATCTCCTCTATTAGAATCTAGACTTCTACCTTAAGTGTGCACACTCCCTAAAGGGATTCCAAGCCCTCCGAGTAGTATGAAGTCTAAGTAGTTCTGACGTCAACGTCTCCCTACTCCAAATGGGATATGCTCCCTAAAGGGGATCTAATGCCCAGTTGTTCGGGGTGGTTACCGAACCCTCCAAAATTCATTTAATTTGTTTCACACCTCTCAATTCAAGTAGTAGTAGTCCTAACCCTCTCTCACCATTAACGGACGTGAAGGTGGCCCGACACCTTCAGATTTCTCCCGTGGTGCCCCAATTATGAAAACAGTCTTTTATCTTGTCTCTCCAAAAATTCCATATTTATGTCTCTTGGACAAAGTTTCACCACAAGGATTATTATCCTTAAATTCTTAACTTTATATTTTCCCCAAAATATATCACGTATACATAAAATCCAATATATCTCAAAATCGCAACAAATACAACATGCTCACAAATAATTCATCATTCAAAATATTCATATCATCACATAAATCAAGTAAATAATTATTTACGAGGTAAAAATATAATTTTGGTTGCAATGTGACTTGCCTCAAGTGTTACATGTATTTAACCCCGAGGTACAAACCGTAACATTAAGATATTTAAAACCGAATTAGACACGTTTAACCTCGATTTCATTAGGTGGTCGAGTTGGACGAGACATTGACATATGAGGAGAGGCCTGTTCAGATTCTTGATACAAAGATTCGTGAGACTAGGAGAAAAGTAGTTAAAATGGTTAAAGTATTGTGGTCTATCACTTGGCCGAAAATGCTACTTGGGAAACTGAAGACGATATGTGTCAACGTTACCCAGAGTTATTTGAATAAGGTAATTTTCTAGTTACGAGGACGTAACTCCTCTTTAAGGGGGTAGAATGTAACACTTAATAATTTTATATTATAGATAGTAGATGTTAGTTTATGTTTCAGGACGAAATCGAACAGAAAGAACATTGACGAATTGGATTGGGAGATACAAGGCAAAGAACTGAAAGAACAACTTGAAGAATTGCTTGAGAAGGGATACATCAAGCCGAGTACGGGACACTCTCATTTCAAATCGAACCGTTTGAAACGGGTACGGGACCGGTCCTAGATTTTGAGAACCGAAAAATACCGGACCGAACCGTTCGAAAATAATGCATTTGAATTTTTTATAATTTTTCTAAACCAATAGATCTCTTTTATAGATAAACAATTTTATAGCCCAAGCATGTATTCATGCGTTCCTAAACTAGCTAAATGTGTGTGTTTATATAATATATTGTTATTTTAATTTTTAGATAATTTA